TACCCACTGTAACTCCCACTACATGGGGCTAACAGCCAAGGCCACCCAAATTCCGCCTTCCCCAACATTTATCTGCCCACCTCCTGAGAAGGCCTGGTCATGGGAAGAACATCACACCCGCACTCCGACTCAAGGCCTGTGTGCTAATCGTAGTGGGTTAGGACCAAACCGTGTTATAACCTGGTCAGGGCACTGAGATCCCCTGGCACAGCAGACCTGCCTCTGTAGATGGGGCCCCCACGTGTTGCCATCTTTCCATCCACAACCCTCCAATCCAGCATCACAGGTCTGAGACACAAACAAGGAACGGCTACGGTAGGACTACTGGGAGTGGGAAACAGGGCGTTTTCTGTGCGAGGTCGGAGGTTGTGGAACACGCCCATGGAAAGTGTAACACTGTGCTGTCACCTGGCCACGTTCAGAGCCCAGGGCAAATCCCGCCGGAGTGCAATAGCCTCACCACACTACCCGGAGAGGAGACTTAAAGCAAAAGCCAAGTGACTGAACCCCAGGGGAGCCCAAGCAGAACCCATGTGTGCTTGTCGCTTATGCCTCTTATTTTGCTGTACTTCAGTCCTTAGATTCTGCAATGACTGGCTCTCTCTTACCATAACAAAGAGAACCTGCACTGAAGCATAGAGGAGACACACCCACTTGTGCCAGGGCTCAATCTAACTCCATGTAACACAGCCGGAGAGCCTGCTTCCAGGGGCTAGCTCTCCCCTCCGCCCACTGCAGAAAGAAAAGCCTCCTCGAATCTCCCTCTGTGTGTGTCAGGCAGAGAGTGCTGATGAATGGGCTGGCTACTGTTTGCATTATCGTAGCCCTTACAGGCTGCAGCTATGATCAGGCCCCATTGCGCCAAGCACTGTACGAACAAAGTGAGAGCCAGCCCTGGCCCCAATGAACTAGCAGAATAACGGAGCACGCCCTGCCTCTGCTCCCAGAGAGACCCTCTCCTGCAGACACCAGAAGCAAACAAAAGGCAGCCATGTTGGGCTTTCGCTGCACCGGCGAACCACAGCCAAACAGAACGCCTGCCTACTGGAGAAGGAATAAACTGTACGTCAGGGAGGGACTATTTATTATGAAGCTTCGGGAAGGGGTCTAAGAACGGGAGAGTGAAAGAGCAGGGAAGGCTATAAAGAGCAGTGTCCCTGTAAGGGCAGCGCATACATTACACTCATGAATTACGACGCTGCGCTGGGGATCTTTGAGCTAACAGAACGGCTTGTTGGCTCTCCGCCGGTTCCGCCTGCCACACACGCAGGCACTGCCTGCCGGCACGGCGGCTAATGTGTCTGCACGCCTCCTTGGTGCCGGCCCCCTCTCCTTAGGAGTCCTGTCACGGAGTCTTTGGCCTAATAGAGCAATCCTTGATCGATGGGGAGAAACGAAACCAGCTCCCGGAAGAGCCAGGCCTGGCCTGGCGCCAGATGGAGGAGCGAAGGAGAGTTGGAGCAATGGGAGGGGGAGGGAGGCAAGGGAAGCATTCAGGAGGAGACCCCGAATCAAGAGAGTCTAGAACAAGCCCGCAGCGAAATAGGAGGCAAGGAAGTTTCGCCTCCATCCATTGCCAGTTGGGGATGGGGAGGTTGGGGGGAGAAAGCTTACATCAGAGCTTCACAGTCTAACCTGGAGTCCCTGAGGAGGGGAGGGAGGGGGGCACCACTGGTTTAACGTCAATACCAAGGGAAAGCATCCTCATACAATTCATCTTGGTCCCTTGCAGAGCAAATTTTTCCCAATAGGGTCTGCTCCACTCCCCTCCCCACCCTAGGAAAGGCCAAATCCCCCCCACACACACACACACACACTGCACCCCCGTTTGGACAGATCACAGGGCAAGGGACTCGGCATCATTCTCCAGCATCCCTCCAGTCCCTACCCCAAGAAGCCCAGGCCTGAAGGCCACCCAGCTGGCGCCAACATTCTCGCTGCGTTCACGGTGCCTTAGAAGCCAGAGGCGGGAGAGTCCCATGCCAACGGAGGATCGCTCCCTACTGCTCAACAAGAGAGCAGCGCGTTCCATGCGGGGCACGGGCCCAGACACGAGGGGACGTGCGCACTTTCACGTCCACTCCGTCACGTGGAAGGCTGAGGTCTGGTTCAGTCTAGTCTGTGTCGATGGAACCACGTTACGGATTCTTGTTACAGCCCTGATCTTTCCTGATACTGTGGCACAGTTTGGTCCCCAAAGACTAAACCTTCTTAGACATACATCACGCAGCTGGGTAGGTGCTATTGTGAGCTAATGAGATCCCCAAGCACAGTAGCCTTGACTGTGAAGATGGGCCCTTTATTTACCGATTGTCTACATGGGCTGCAGCTATAGCTGAGTGTAACCTGTTCTCCACCCCCAATCCCCAGAGCTCAGAGCCGGAAAGAAAAAAGGCAGCCAAACAGCGCAGGAGGGTTTGGAGCAAGACAGAAAATAGACAGTACCCATGCCTATTCCAGCACCTTCCCTGCAGCAGCTCCTCTATCCTGCCATAAGAGGGACCCTGGCTTCAGCCACGTCTCCTTACTCCCTTGGTGACACTCCAACAAGGTGGGTGCTCATAAAATCAGCAGATTATGCACCCCAGGTCAGCTTCCAGATAGCCTGTCTGGGTCCCCCACCAGTTAGTCATGGCTTCTCTGGTAACAGACTGGGCTGCCTCCTCCCCCAGCTCCAGCCCTTACTGGGGTGCAGGGGATTAGCCTCTGGAGGAGACCCAGGCTCGCTTCAGGTCTGAGATGCAGGAGTGCCGGATTCTATTGACCAGAGCAAGTCCGGGTCCCACTCTGTGCCTCAGTTTCCCTATCTGTAAAGCGCGGATAATGACACTGCCTTCCTTTGTAAAGTGTGTTGAGATCTACTGATCAAAAGTGCTATAGAAGAGCTAGGGATTATTAAAGCAAAAAGATCCTACCGGAATAGCTCCATATCCTCCAGTTGGGGGCGATTATTGCAGAGTACTGCAGTAAAACCAAGAGTTAACAGTTGTTCTTCGGATATACTTCATAAGGTTGTGAATCCTGCCTCTCAAACATGGTGAGGCGCTGCCGGCTAACTCGGAGCCCCAAACATATTTGGGGCTAAATACAGACCCTTTTCTTTGCCACCTCACAGCCCTATCACAGGTCTGGCGCCCCAAACACACAGTGCCCCCATCGCAGGGACCCACTGCCATAGTATACCCTGAACTGCCCAGTCACAGCATCTTGGCAGATGCCTGGGCTGTCAGCAACCAGAAGCAACACAGGGAAAAAGCCAAGCAAGATCCCCAGGTACTGTGGGCAGGCAGTGGGGCCCTTATGCAGCAGGGGAAATCATGACTCTCTAGTGCCTCTTCCTCTCCCATCCTGTTTGAGGAACCCCAAAGCGGTATGGGGGTGCTGACACACACACACACACACACACACACACACACACACTAGAGTTTGGGATCAACGACTGGTCCTGTGGAGGAGGAGGCAGAAAGCATCCTGCGTCACAGAGGGCATAACTGGAGTGCCTTGCATGGAGAAATGGCCCCCTTCTCCGTTCCTTAACGACCCCCTCCCCACAGCAACAGGCAGATTATCGAGCAGGATGGAGGTCAATACCCCAGAAAAAGCTGCTGCCAGCTGACTGGCTGCAGGGAATTTGCTTGTCACTGAGGAAAAACATAAACTAGACTTACATGGCACTTTATGTTTCCAAGCACCGCACAAACACTAACTCGCTAAGGAGAAAAACCGCCCAAAAAAGTGAAAGATACCCAGGCTCTGAACTAACCTGGACTCCTGCAGCCAGCCGACCCATCCCACCGCCTCCTATTCAGGATTCAATACATAAGAACTCTCCACCACTGCTGTGTTCTTGCAGAAAGCAATATCCCACCCTCTCCTCTAGACAGGCAGCTGACGGAGGGCTCAAGCCAGCATCTGATGATGTCTGCGACGGGGGATTTCCCCGACTCGCAGGATTTTGCCCCAAGTCATTATGCCATCGCAGTGCCACGGAAACTAGCTGCATCAATTTAAGAATCTTTGCTTGGGCCAGAAATAGGAAAACCCATTTGACTCTAGCTTGGAAAGTAACTCGGCCATCAGCCCAGCGGACGGAACAGTGCCTTCGGAACGGTGTGAAAAAAATATATATAAGTTACCTGTTAATAATTCTATCTTATGTCCCAGAACCTTCATTGTGATTCGTATTCTCCCAACAGGTGAAAATGGCAAGGGGGGGGGGAAGCTCCTGGAGACAGTCAGTAGGGAAAATCCACTAGCGAGGGATGATCGGAGTCCTCTGAGCTCAAAGCAGCTTGGATCAGGAATGAGACAGGGCGCCTGGGTGGAGTGGGAAGTGCAACATGGAGCATATGTGTGTGTGTGAGAGAGAGAGAGACTGGCTGTTCAATGCAGGTAGGTAGGAGCTTCGCCCGCTTCACAAAACAAGAAAAAAAAACCCCCCAAAACCCCTCACTTACACTGCAAAAACGCCAGGCACTACAAAAGCCGCTAGCCTGGCACGGCAAGGCTGGGTGAATCCAGGCACCGCTGGACCGCCAACCCAGGCTGTGGGCTCGGAGACTAAACACCACCCCCCCCCCCCCTCCACGAACAAAGGGCCAAGGCTCCCCCCCCCACCAAAGGGTCGGAAAGGGGGGGGGGGGGTCCTGCTGGCAAGCCGGCAGCACCGAGGCGCGCCGGGAAAGCAGGGCTGCGTCCCAGCACCGAAGATGGACACCCCCCCCCCTTAAAGGCGAGGCTATCGGGGTGATGAAACGCAGCCAGATTTTCCCTTGGAGCGGGAGAAAAACAAGGCCCCGTTTTTAGGGCCACACCTGGACCAAGCAGGGGCAGACGAGCCAAGAACGGATCCCCCCCCCCCCCCCCCACTTGCGTTTCCATCTCCCTAGGGCCGATCTGGGCAGAAAGGCTTTACTGGGGGCGGGGGGCGCCTCGGGGGGAGACTTCCAGCCAGGAGGTGGGGGGGGGCACACAGGGGGGGCCGCGCCCGCGAGACTCACCGGATCAGTGCGATGCCGGGCCGGGGGCTCCGGTTCCCCTCTGCGCCTCTCTCTCTGCAGCCTCCTGCTCCCCGGGCGGTGAGTCCCCACGCGCGGGCAGGCAGCGACCCCCGCCCCACGCCCCGGAGGAGGAGCAGCAGCAGCACCGAGTCGGGCCCAGGGGGGGGGGCGGGGCGCTGGCCGGAGCCGGGGTGTAAATCAACCCACGTGCGTGGGCTTGTCTGGCTCGGGGCGGCGGCTGCTGGCGGCGCCGGGGTTGCAGCCAGGGGGAGGGAGCGGCTGGGCTCCCCCGGTTTAAATGGGAGATGCACCACTGCGTCAGGGAGGCGAGGGGGGGCGAGACGAGGCGCGCGCAGCAGCGGGCACCGTGCGCGCAGGGGGGGGGCACCTGCCAGCCCCCCCCCCCCCCCCGCGGCGCGGGCAGGACCTGGCTTCGGGCCACGCCGACACGCTCCCGCGTGGCCAAGGAGGGGGCTGCGTGGGTGGGAGCGATCCGCCCAGCCCCTGCTGCGCCCTGGCCGCTGGGGACTAGGGATGCAGCTGGAGCCGGACCGGGTGGGTGGGTAATGCAGCGGGCACTGCCTGGGCATGGAGGGGAGAAGCCTGGGGGGCACCCAGACCCACACCGGCCCCTCGTGTCTCTTACCCCCTAGAGATGATGGGGAGCCCCGGGCTAGGGCCCAGCCCCTCTGCTCCGAGCGAGCCCGGCGCCGGAGCTGACCCTGCTCGGGTGCTAGTCAGGGGAGAGTGGCTAGTCGGTGCCACTCTCCTGCGCCAGCCTCTATGCTAGGCCCGATACCCGCGTGCAGCCAAAGGAGCTTTGTTTTCTAGCCTCGGTGGCAGGGGCCTGGGCTCTCGGAGCAGGGGGATCTGTGTTCTGTCCTGACGGGAGCTGGGCAGTGACACCCATTACACAGCAGCCCAATCCACCCCAAAACCCAGCACTCACGGGACCCAGCTGAACATTTTCAACAGGAATTCCCAGCAGGGATGGCAACGGTTCTGCATTACACGGTGGTTGCAAAAGCCACCAACCGACACTGATTTATACATGATTTTTAAGCATCTCGTTTATTTCCCAGCATAGATAAGCCATGGTTTTGGCCTAAGATCTGTCGGGTGCGCTTCCTCTGAGCAACAAGGAAGTTCTAGGCCCAAAGCTAGCAGTATGTTAAGTGCCGTGTTTAGGCTGAGATTATAAAGGGCAAATGCTGCCCTCCGCGTGTGGCATGACCTGGACATAGCAGTTGTGGTGCAGTTACGCTGCACATGGAGGGATGCTGTGCAGGGGATTTGCAACTCTACCATACCACAAAGCTCCATGAAGGCTCTCTGTGTGCTATCAATATCTCCTGCTCACACTGGAGCCAATGGGAGCTCAAGGTTCACATTACCTCTGAAGGAATCAAATTAACCACTCACAGAGTAACAAAGGCATAATGAAGCCGAGACGCAGGAGCCCTGATGATCATGATTTTATCAATTTTAAGGCCAGAAGGGTCCTTTATGATCATCTGGTCTGACCTCCTGCACAACGCAGGCCAGAGAACCTCACCCAGTAATTTCGGCATGAAGCCCATAACTTCTGTTGGAGCTATAGCGTAATTTAGAGAAAGAGATCCAGACTTGACTGCAAGCGATGGGGATTCCCTTGCTAAGTTCTTGCTTACAGCTGTGACGTTAAAGTCGCAACCTTAACAGCTTTTTGCTTAGAATGTATTTCCATATATTTAGGGTTTGCCATGTGACCTCAGGTCATTTGGTTGTAGTGAGCTGGTGGTTCAGAAAATTACTAATGAATGACACCTCTACCCTGATATAACACTGTCCTCGGGATCCAAAAAATCTTACCACGTTGTAGGTGAAACCGCGTTATATCGAACTTGCTTTGATCTGCCAGAGTGCGCAGCCCCGCCCCCCCCCGAGCACTGCTTTACCACGTTATATCTGAATTCGTGTTATATCGGGGTAGAGGTGTAGTTCACTTTCCTTGCACCAGATTCTGATCTCATTCACACTGGTGTAACTCTGTAGTAACAGCATTGACTCCACTAGAGTTACCCTGAATTTACCTGGGGATTAGAATCTGACCTCTTGTCATAAAAATCCCAGGACTCAAAAGACCTTTTGGGACAAAGTTCGATAGAGATGTACGGAGACAGAAGCCACAAGCTTCACCCGGTTCTCTCTTTAGCTGACCAACAAGGTTGCTCTAATACCAATTTATAGTGCAATGTCTTAAAATTACAAACGTACATCCCTGCAATGGGGAAACCTGTAGGCTGCTGCGTAGATTCATTCAAGGATGGGTCATAACTTCTGATAGCTCCCATTATTCTCACCACTCTAGTGAAATAAATGGCTGATGAGACACAAACTATTGATATAAACATTTAATTCCATACTTGGTGCATCATCACTCATCTATTTTAATACTTTGTGTGTCACTGGCAGCCCCTTTTAATTTTAATTAGGCCCTTCTGCCGTATGAACAGAACATCTAATAGCTAAGTATCGGGTATAGCATTAATCTTCGCTTATCAGTGAGAACTCCTGAGAGAACATGAAAACACAGAGTGCATTTAACCCCCCAACTTACTGCCAGACAAGTCGCCAGCAGTCACATGGCCTTAAAGTCTGCGCTCTACGGTCTGTCATCTCACCATGGCTGGGTATGAATGTCCTGCTGCTTCCCTAAGTCACGGGGGAAAGATGAGCAAGGAGAGAAAATACAGAACTCAGTGGTTTATGTGAATTTCTGCTATGGGAATAAAATGGACCAGTTTTCAGTCTCATTTACACTAATGTAAACCTGGACTAACTCAACCGACTTCCAGGGACTTATACCCGTGTAAATAAAATCAGAATCTGGCCATCATCTCTGCACCAACTCAAGCCTTATTGAATAATAGAATAAAGGCTTTTAGACGGATACCCATTAAGAAGAACAGCCTGTGTGCCAGAAATAAATTACAATATTAATTAGACCTCCAGAAGCACGGGCTTTCTGTACAGTAAGCCAGAGAATGTAGAACAACACAGTTTGACAGCTACTTCAGAAACAGAGCTTGTGAAAAGAACACATCTGTTGGAAGGACAAATGTGTTGTGCACGGAAGTTGTGTGTTTAAAGAGGGAGAAGATGTGGTTCTGCAGTATGGATTTTTCCACATTGCTTTTCAATTCAGGTCAACATAGCTTTTTCCACATTGCTTTTCATTGTGCTTTTAGTTCAGCCAAGCAAAGCTAAGAGGGTTGAATATTGGTTGGACTCTAGAAGGAAGATCAGGAAGGCCAAGGTTCTAAAATGTGGATCCCAAGAAGACCTAGGCTTGAGGAGACAGATGAAGCCTGTCCCCATCTTGCAGGATTGGTTTCTAGAGGCCCAAGAAGTTTGAGTTCCAAAAGACAATGCTCCAGCTCCCAAAGAAAAGCCTTGGCTTGATTTGTCCAAGTCAATTCCCAGGAAATTTGAGTTCTAGAAGTTAAGACCACCTGGAAGCTTTTCATTACAGGATTAGGACCTTCCAGAAGGCCCACCCACTAGAAATTAATGCCTGCTACTTATGGCTTGAGTTTTAGAAGTTTGAACCCATCTCAAGAAGTTTTGAGTTCCAGAAAGATTGAGCTCCAGAGTCCCTGGGAAAGGTTTTAAGTTCTAGTATTTATACCCACAGGGACTTGGGTTCTACACACCTTGAAGGGCTGGCGTCTAGTGACTGATCCCTAGAAGCAGTAACTGTTTTGTGCCGTGGGCTAAGCCACTGCACACTAAGCAACTCTATTATCCACAGAAAGCCCCTTGCCAGGAACCTGAAATAAATGGCAATTTTAGACCAGACTGAGTGCATCTTAAGAGAAAGGACTTCAATGAGGCTGTGGAAACAAAGCCGAGCAGTGTTGTGGATGTGAAAATGGGGTGGGATGTCTGGAGCCAGTCGTGGGAGAAACATTCACGCGTTCCACGACAACACTCACCAGTGCTCCAGGCTAACGGATGGGCTTGATTGCAAGGCGCTGAGGAGATGGTGGCCTCCTAGGATCAGTGTTAAACCTGTTGGGCTCCTTGGAACCTCCTCTGATTTGACCTGGACCTCAGTGGCATAGGCACCAGGGGCCCTATTCTGATCTCATTTACAGCAGGGTAACTCTGGATTTACCCTGGTGTATCTGAGAGCAGAAACTGGAGCAAAGACACCCACAGGCCAAAACGTTGATTAAATCCTGTCCCCACTGAAGTCAATGGGGATTTTGATTGACTTTAATGGGACCAGATTTTGGCCCAGGGAAACAAAAACAAAAAGAGAGTTGCATAGAAAACATCCAGCCTTTGGCATTCAGGGACTTCCTGCAGGAATACAGGCCTGATTCCCACCCCCACCCCCTGAGTATGTACCCAGAGGGCCAGGTGGGATTGTACTTGGGCAGAGAGCCCGAGCTGCCGCCCATGTCACCATGGCCCCACTGCTATTTTTGGTGCACTAGCTCAAACAGACCTAGTATGTGTAGATCTACCTGAGCTGGGAATCACACCTCTCAGTTGCTGTTTAGACAGCCCGTCTTTACTGTAGGTGAGATCAGAATTAGACCCACTGGCTTGGCTATACCATAACCCACCAATGAGCCAGCCAGTCTGATATCCTGTTGCCCATGGGGGCGAACGCAAATGATTCAGAAGAAGGGGCAAAACCCCTAAAAAGAACATAAAATTGTGCCTGCTTTTTGAACAGTAGAACAGGGTGAAATTTCTCCTTGATCCCAGCTCGCGACCAGCTTGGTGTCTTGAAGCCTGACAACTGACGGGTCTTCTAATTTTGTCTGGGCTAGAGGTTTCTTTGCAGAAACAATCAATCAAGAGATGTTCCTCCTTGCCAGAACATTGGCATGGTGCCCAAAAGCTGCATTCCAGCCCTTTCCAATACTCAGTCTCCCAACTGCTCCTTAATTCTTCTCCGAAACAGCGCAATGGGGTTGACCCGTCTGGGGGGCGTCACGGAAGTCAGGTGCAGGGAACAAGACATCCAGAGGCTCCCACTTGATTCACACACACTTTAGATGGAGGGATGTCAGCTCAGCCCCACTAAGAAAGTAACACCTGCACAGACGCTC